TACTTTTGTTAGGTAGAAAAAAGTTTATCGTTTTCTTAAGCGAATTTCTTCAATTGACTTTTCTTTCTTCTTCGCTTGCTAATCCTTGAGAAGAACCATATTTTATGATTTTACTAAAAATACAATATTTGCATAACATTTGAAATTACAATTTATTCTTTTTACTTTCATTTTTTCCTATACTTTTCAATGGAACTATTGTGCGAAATTATGAAATTTTATAGAGTATTAACAGAAGATTCGATTTTTTGATTAATCAAATACGAATTTAAATGTTTAATAAATAAATTATAACTAGTTTTTGCAGGTAAATATTGAATAGATCGAGGTGAAGCATTCTTAATTTAAAGAATTTCTTGCAAATCATCTTTTTTTTATGATTATAATTCAATTTGATAATAATTAAGTTAATAAATATAAGTAAGCTTATCACTTCTGATTAGATTTAATCCACTGGCGATCATCATGATAAGAAATCATGAGTTATTTAGCGAAATATACTATACATAGGTAGCTGATAACATTTTTTAACGATACACTTTAAATGTGAGCAAAATAATTGAAAGTGAGGTTCAAGCGGTTTAACATTCGACGCGAGAGTTTAAGCAACAATAATTTATTTGCTTTAAATAATGGTTGAAATATTTAAATATTTATATTATATTTTTATATAATATAAATATTTTTATATAATATAAATTTATATATATTATAAAATATTTATATTATTTATATTAAATATTTTTCACCTTAGGTAAAATTTCTATGAATAAAATAGAAATGAAAATTATAAGGCGAAGACAAAAATTCAAAGAATATGAGCAATTATTTATTCAATATTAAATAAATTTCTCTGCAAATACTCCAGGAAAAAAAAACTTTTTTCATTTATTTCCTTACTTTTTTCATTACGTAAAATTAAATTTCATCGAAAATAATTTCAAAAGTATTCGTATTCAATTTAAAGTATTTGTATTTAATTGGAGATTTAATTAAAGGAAAAATTTGTAAGAAAAAAGACTCATTCAATTTGTTTGTGGTTCTTTAAGATTAGTTGAATTTTGAATTAAATAAAAAATCTTTTAATTAAAATATTTAATTTAAAAAAAAACCAATTTACTAATGAAACATTTTTTAAATAAATATGAAAATTTAATTTTGCATAGAAATTAACTAAAATATCTTTGAATATCTTAATGAAATATTCACCAAATTACAATATTTTCAGTCCAAATTTGAAGTCCGAATTTAATTTATTCATTTAAAATCTAAATTTTAAAATCTAAATTAATAAATTAACGAATCCGACTATCTATATGAGTCGATATTAGTTGAAAATGTTTGCAAAATTTTTCATGGTAAACTCATTCTGCAATCTTATATATACTTATAATGGTCGCTTCATCTTAATTTTCCACTGGGAATATCATATTTGATTGTAATAATCTTTTTATATGAAAAAACAAAAATTAATGGGAAATTCCAAGAAAGTATTCCTTTAGTTCTAGCAAAAAAGATCCTAAAGGAATTATTAGCTACAAACACCGAATATTGATTAATGATCCTTTTTCAAAAAATCAGCGTTGATTGAAAATTTATGTTGAAAATATTATCAGTGAATTTAAATAGCCTATGGTGGAACATTGATAAATTTCAAGGTCATAAGCACTAATTGTAGAAGACAACGGTAGCAAATATAAATTATCGAAAAATTTCTGCAATCTTTCTTGTCAGTTCGAACTGATATGATAAATTTTAGACGAAAATTTTATACTGGAATTCACTTAAATTTTTATTTTCCATAAAAGAAAATCTTAAAAGAAAAACTGATAATCTTAAATTTTCGTCTCAAAGGAAGATTATTAAAGTCTGTAAAATTATTGCGAAACTTATTTCATTCTCTTTTATTATTTTATTTCAAACAGAATAACTAAAATGATAAATTGTTTCGCTTCAAACAAATGGTTCTATTCTACTGACGATAGTAAATGCATTTTCTATTAAAAATGAAGTATTGGCGACCTATCTATTCATGACTTTTATTCATGAATGTGGTTTTATGGAGAAACGAGTCTATTTCATTCTAGCAAGCGAAGTCAGTACAGCTAGAAATGCTGCTTAGAAGTAGCAATCTTTTCAACATATATTTTAATGCTTTAGTGATTCTTTTTCCAAAAAAAATCACCATTTTTTCAGAATTCAATTTATTGAAACTTGTATGATTCAATCACCACAATTCATTTGCTTTTCTCTTTATGACTGGACAATTGGCGATGAAAAAAATAGTTGGATAGATGTGGTTAATTTTTTTCTATTTAATCCAAAAAACTTAATATGCAACAATGAATTTGGATTTGGGAATAATTAAGTTCCAGCATAAGGGAGAGGTGGGCCACGGTTTTGCCTTTTTCTCTTGATGCATTCAGAAATGAAATCCGAGTTTTGCTTGGATAACCGGCAGTGTATTCAACTAAGCTAAAAAGTGGGTGACGATTGTGGAGCCACTAAATTTATGATATTTGCCATTTTCATTCATTTAAAGATTCAAATAATATAAAATTGGTGAATTTAATATCCTTCAGCTTATATCCTTCTTTAAAAGAATAGAGTTAAACAAATGATAAACAATTCCTCTCACTTTCCTTTACCAAGAGAAAAATAAATATTCCGACATTCGTACTAATCGTATTTAACATTTATTTATTATTTGTCCAGAAATTTCGTCTTAGAAATAAAATTATATTTGAAGCTAAGTATTTCATTCTCTTCTTTTCTTCTCTTAAATCGCTTAATAATATTTCAATGAAGCAATTAATCTTCAATGAAAATTAGTAATTAACTAGGAAATCGAAATAATTAAAAGACACTTCACTAATATTTTTTTCACTGTTTCATTTCCATCTAAAAATAATTATTATTGCAATATTTTTTAAATTTTTTATAAAAATAATTATTACAATATTTTTTTTATTACTAAAGGTTAACAAATACTGAGAATTTACTGCAGAGGGTGCTAATGAAATTTATTGAAAATAAGGTTAAGAAAGTTGAATAAATAATAATTTGCTGTGTTCATTATTTTCGGCGTTTAGGCTTGTCTGCGGAAAGAAGAAGAAAAATCTTCACCTTTCACAATTTGATCCATTGACTATCTTTTATTTACCTCACTTGACAAATTTTTCAAAATTTCTTAAAAAAGTTTAGAAAATATTAAATGAGCCAGGTTTCAATTAGTGACGATGCTCGAAATATTTGAACATATTCGGAGACAAAAGATGGTTTAGTTAAAAGTGGTGAAAAGTAATATAATCGAATAGCAAAATTTTATAGATCAATTTCATTTTTATTTTATATTTTATTAAAATTCAATTTTCGTTTCAATTTAAAAAGATTAAAAAAATTTGTCGATGAAGAAAACTATTTAATAAATTAATTTTAAGGCATTCCAAATTTCTATTTAACTAAATACATGGAATAAACGTTTGAAAAACTGGTACTCGGATTTATATGCTCAACTTTTAAAGCACTTATAGTTTGCATTGCCTGCCAGTAGTCCATAAGTTCAGATAAAATTAGAGATGAGCAAAGACCCACAGTTTATGGCTTAGCTATTAGAATGAGAATTTTCGTTTGGTAGAGAATTATTTTTAGAACCATTCGAATGGTACGGTGCTGTTTGTACTGGCACCCGGATGCTTTCCACAATTTATAGCAGATTTTAAAGAATGCCCAACACAGAATGTTTTGACACGGCAAATTTTTTTATCTGACAGATTTATAAAAAGATATTTTAAAGAGATTTTATGTTCTTCGACACTTCTTGTTTTATATACTTTTATTTTATTCCCTAAAGCAGTAATTTCCAATTGTGATGAGGCTGGTTAATTCGGCTATACATTGTTACCAAGGAGTCGTTTTCAGTTATTAGAATTTAGCAGTTAGAATTTGTCATTCAATCCTGTTTTTAATAGCAAATTTGCTTCAGCCAAAGTGCAGAAATCTCACTCATTCACGATGTTTGATCACAATTAAAGCAATCTCGATTTCGCCAAAAAGAATTTTCATTACTTAAATTACGCCAATAAGAAAAAATATTGCTGCGAAATATGAAAATTTGAAAATAATTTGAAAATTTTTTAACAAAAGATTAATAAAATATTTTAAAGAATTGTTTAAAATAAATAAAATAAATACGATTAACCATTATTTTATGTTAAAAACAAATTGTTTTTGAAAAACTTTTTTTTAATCAATTTTATTTTAATTTATAACTAATTTTATTAATTTCATTAATTATAATGCAAATCATTTGCTTTACGAAATTAGAGATACCAAAATTTTTTAGGCTTTTTTCTTCATTACATTTCTGGTTTAGTTTAGTTGCTTAAAATTTCAGATTGCTAGGATGAAACCTTTCTATTAGCGAGTTAAAAAAATAAAGGCAATAATTAGATCCTCAAGACAATTTTGGTTTGATTTATTTTAAGAGACAACAACATTGGTGTTTTATAAATGAAATTTAGTTTATACGATTAAAAATTTCAAAGAATAAATTGCAAGAATAAATTTAATTAGAAAAAGAAATTAAAGGTAAAGTAAAAATATGAAGAAAAAATGAGACCATAGAAACCAGTGGACATTCAGGATATTTACCTTAAAACCTCAGGATATTTATATTAAAAAAATTAAAGATTTACACTACAGATTTTTTCAGCTAAAAATTTTTTTCTAAGAGCATACACCATTGCTGATTAGGCTCACTCTGCTCTCTTATCTTTATTAAGGTCGCTTAGTCACAAGTGAATCGTCAGTATCACTCGATTTTTGGGGGGCAGAATTATTACAGGCTTCTAACTTAGAAACAGTCATTCTATTCCCTTTTGCATTATGTGATGCGTCAACTAAACTCGAGCGTGGACCATTCTCCCTTCTCGGTGGTATTCTTTTTACCACTAAGGCCACCAATTTCACTTCAGTACCAAAATTATATCATTTTACGTCTAAAGATAAAAAAAGAAACCAACTTCGATCATGGCAATTTGCTGGTCTTTATTTTCGGGTATCTTTTCATTTGTTTTGTTCTTTTGTTCAACATCGATTACCGCTGGGTTTTCAACAGAGCTCGAAATGCTTTCGATTGATATAGATTCAGAACTGGCAATATCACATTCTTTTGCTTGAATTTCACTTTTTTGTGCTAATTTGCTATATTCACCTTCAGATGATTCACTTATAACGGTTTTCGCTATGGTGTTTTTTGGTGCGTGGTAACAAGCGCATAATAAACGCGATAAAGATTCTTTCGTCGATGGCATCTAAATTAACATTTTACGATTAGTTATTTATTTATTTCGGTTAATGAACTTTTTTTTTGGGAAAATATCGCCACAATTCAATGATACTCGACTGTTAAAGAAAATTTATCTTAAAAGCAATTTGGTAAGAAATAGTAATTCAATAATTATGGCAGATTACGACGGAAGTTTTATGAAACATCCCAACGTGTTATTGAATTTTAGCCTAGAAACAAGGAATGATTTGCGATGAAATGAAACAGTTTATTGCCATTTAAACGTACTGTAATTTTTCAAATTAGTTCGTTAGCTAGCAGTTGGCAGTCAATACGACCCACCAGGTGACCTTGGCTATTATAATGAAATCATTTAAAAATAGAATTACAAGTAGATCATCAGCATTTTGTTATTACAAATTGACTTCCTTCAAGATGATAAGAATAGAGGTGAAATGATAGTGCATGAAATGATAATCAAAGCAATACTCAACTCTACTACACTACCACATATTAAAAGTCATAACAACTAAATTTAGCAAATTCATTAAATAATCAAGAAGAATGGGTAATAGTTAATAAAGATTTTCTAATAAATTACTAAAAACGATCGAAAAAAATAATAAAATGAAAATCAAAAAAAAATTCAAAAAGCATGACAAATTTAAATTAAATTTGAATTTGAAAGCTAAAATTATTAAATAAAATGTTATTATTAAATAAAAAGTTATAAAAATTAGCAGAAAAAATTCAAATTTAAACGATTTTTAAAATAATATTTAATGTGAAAAAAAACGAGTTTATCATTTATTTTTTGTTCGATAAAACTATAAATAAAAAATTAAGACTAATTAGAAAATTAAAGATGAACCAAGATCATTGATATTTAATTCCATTTTTCAATCAAATTAACTAATCGTACACTATTGTGCAATGAAATGATATAGCATTATCAATTATCATTGAATTATTTACTGCAAAGTTCGTTGGCTGTGTTCATTTCATTTCAAAAATCAAAACACCAAATGAAAGGCATTAAAATGGTGATATTTGGTGAAAAATTTTTATCATGTTTTTATCATATTTTATATAATTTAAAATAAAATAATTTTAAAAAATTCGAGGAAATTATTGAGGATTCTTAATCACCAAGATTATTTATACTTTCAATGATTTTAATATTTTCGAATACAAGCCAAATTTAGTTTAGAAAATTGAAACTTCCTCGTTATACACAATGCATAAAATTATACGATTTCAATAAATAAACATTTATTAACTGGTGAAAGCTTAGCGAAAAGGAATAAATACTACAATAATGATAGAAGTAATTTTATTTTATGCTCAAAACTTCGATATTCAAGTAAAATCCTACAAATATTGCGAATAAGATAAAAATATTTTTTTTTTAGATTCAGCGCCTTATCATTTATGTAAATTTTTAATTTTTGAATGCATATGGTAAATGCATATAAAATAATTTCTGATTATAAACTATTGATAAGGATTTAAGCTATTGCTCTTATTATACTAAATTATCTTTATCATAATACATTATTTTTTTCTCCACTTTTATCAGTTAATAAATATTTATTTGAAATCGTATTGAATTTAATCAAGAAAAGTAAATGATTAGCGCTCATCGCTTTTGGTTAGTTTGGCATCCACTAGCTGTAAGTGCGTTTAAAAAACTTTTGAAGAAAGCCACTCATCGATAGAAGCATAAAAGAATAACCAAAAGTATTCATAGTTTAGAAAATAAAAAGCCATATTAAAATTTATTTTTCTTAAAAAACTAAATTAAACAAAAATTTTTAAATTTTAATCCATTGTTTTTAAATAATTTCAAAAAATAATTCTATGGATCTAAGAATGAATTAGTTGAAAACAATCCAATATTTTCAGCAAAATAATAATAAATAGGTCCGTGAAAATCTTAAAATCTTAATGGCCATTATACTCGAAAATTTTCAGTATTAATAAGATTGTAATAATAATAAAAATAAGATAAATATAAAGAAATAACCTATAAAATTAAAGATTATTTATTAATATAATTAAATAATTATCATTCTAATTAAAATCACTCCACTGGTTGTTAACTACGATAAGAAATTTTATTTTAGCTAGAGACTTAGGTAACTATAGGATTTTGCCAGCAGCGATCAGATTTACTCCGCTTCACATGCAAGACACTAAGCCACGGTACTCAGTACTACTCAGTACTAGTAGAGAATAATCTGAGCAAAACTCGCTTATCCTTTCTCCTTTAATGATTTATTATCAATAAAAAAATTTGTTATCAATAGTAGTAAAAGGTTTAAAATTCAATAAAATTCACTTGATAAAATTCAAAAATTCACTCAATTTCATCGTAAATAATCGATATATATTGCGAGAAAATATTTGATCATTTGTTTTTTGTATTGAATTTTATAGTTTTTTTAACAAAACAATAGAAAAAAATATCATTCAATTTGAACCATTTGATCCATTTTTAGTTGAACAAAACAATTGCTTGATTGTTCAATAAATTTATTGTCAATTTAGTTAATTAAATTTGAAATGACAGAATGACTGAAATATTCTTTCGATTATCTATTTGATTCTACGGTACGATTGCTTTTTTTAAAGCCACAATGGTCCCCCTTATTCAGTTTCAGTTTTATATCTAATATAATATGTTAGAAGTAGAATAACAGAATAGTTATTGGTGATATTGTCGCGAGCATTAGTTGATAACAGCATAGTCCGGGCTGAGGATCCACTTGTATTTCTATATATATTCTCATGTGAATGATTCTCTAATAAAGTTATCGCATTTTATGGTTGCTAATGGAACCAACATGACGAGAAATTATGAGTGACGCTAACCACCTATATTGTCGATACATATAGTAGGATCATCGAACAATTTGCCCAAGCCTTAACCAGTTTTATTTTATTCTTATTGTTCCACAAAATTAAAAGTTATTTATTTATTTTACGTGAAATTTGATCTTCACGAAAACATCATTTGAAGAGTGATCAGTGTGCTACTTTTGGAACCATCGCTTTACCACCTCTAAATCATCAAGTGATTCTCTAATGGAAAAGTTTTGGTCTAATCAATAATCAGAATTGCTTCTCGTAGAATAAGAAAAAAAATGATACTTGGCCGAAATAATCGATGTAACATTCCAACTGAATACTTTACCTCATCTCGATCTCATAACTATTGCAAGAAGCTTAATGATGCCATTACAATTTATAAACTATCGATATTTATATAGTAATTTAAAAAATTATCTAAAAGAATGGGTCATATAAAGAATTATAAGTAAAAAGAAGAAAGAAAACCAAGGAATTGGACCATTCTTTCGAGAATCTTTCAAGAGAGAAGTAATAAGTCAACCGCGATGAAATTAGAAAATATTCAAAATTTTGCAATTTTATTTAGTTTTGAAATGAAGAATATTGTCAAAGAAATAAATTAAAAAAAAAAAAAAATTGTGGTATGAAAAAAAAAATGAAAAATTAAATTGAATTCGCAAAAAAAACTGCAACTTATAATGCTCACAAATTGCTACAGAATTGTTAATCAAAAAATCCAGAGGAAATGTATCATTGCTTCGACTCAACGAATTCAACAATAAACCTAATAATTATTTTTCCGGAAAATCCACAAAAATTTTAGCTAAGTGGTCAATGATTTTTTTCTTGTTTATATATTTCCAGCATTGATAAAAATATTTATGATGAAAAATCTGACACTGTTAATCTTAAGAATTTATTCAAGGATTTAGTTGTTTGTTGGTAATTAACGGTATAGATTTAATAGATAATTTTGAGGAATGAACTGATAACTGATCCATCGATGGATTTTTAGGAATTTTTTCCTTGCATATATAAGTAAGTTTAAATAAACAATAGATTTTTTTAAAAATAATATCAATCAAATAACAATTTTACATGACAAAGGAGGCGAAAATAGAGAAAATTAAAATTTTCGATCAATTTGGGCAATTTTAGTGAATGATTTAGAAAGGAATGGGTAGATCCACTTTCAACTATCTGTATTTCGTGCTTTTCTTCATAATTATTGTACTTTTCTTAATTTTTCCCTTCTCAAAAAAACACAAATCCTGACATATGACCCGTAAAATACCTGATTTCTATCTAGTTTTTATAAAAGAATCGATTTCTAATTCATCTTTTATCCTTCAATTCACTACGGTTAATTTCAGGCTTTAATAGATAACTCAAAATTTTTGTAATTTTGCAATTTGCAATAGATAAATAGATAATAGGGACAGAATGGCTCAGTGGGTTGTTGTCCAATTGGGAGTGCCGATGCTGAGGTTCGAATCCTCGCAGGAGTAAGTTTGTACAAAAATCCTAGTGATGCTGGCGACCCACCTCTACTTCTATCGCCAAGTGATTCCCTGGCACATTTGTCTAATATGACAAGCCAGCGGAGCGAGTTTAACCAATAATGGTGAGGACTTTTTAAAAAAAAAAGATAAATCCTCCTAAGAAAGCCAATCAGACAAAAGTGGAAAACTACGGCTGCCACTATGGTTACTGATTGGATGCGAGTTGGTTACCGTCTACGATCTTTCATAATCAATCTAAAATTTCCATTATCAGCTGGCGCAGACTGATTGAGGAACTGAATAAAAACTAAAAAAAGTAATCAAATGCAGAAAATGAAAATACAGTGGAGTACCAATTTAAGGTCAAATAACTGAAATATTGGAAACTACCACGTAATAAATTAAATTATAAATATAAAAGATTAACTTCGAACTCCATAGTGCATAAAATTGAATCATTTTCAATCGAATAAATTCGTAAAAACAATTTCGGCAACCCAATATTTAAAATTTTGATAAATTCTTTTTATCGATAAGGAGAAATATAGAAAATACAAATGATAAAGTGGTTATCCAATATCAGCTCTTAGTTCTTCATTAGTTCTTAATAGGATAAGGCAGTTATATCAGCTAGAAATACAGGTTAGTTTCATCTGAATTAGTTGATGTA